TTGTCATAAGTTAGGATAATTTTAACATTCCTCAACCAGTCTTTGTAGTTAGGACCGGTTAACTTGTTTTGTTCTAGTATGAGTTTTAAGCCAGACATAATGGCCTAAAAGAGAGAATTTTTTTAGCAGATGTTCAATACATAAAATAGATTTGGTTTATTTTTTATCTAAGTTATGTCTCCCACTATTTTTCAAGTCCTTTAAAACCTTTATAAGAGGTGATCGGAAAACAACCCCTTGTTTTCAAGTGGGATCAAGATCCAATTATCATTGAATGTATCAACATTGACGATGGTCAACAAATCGATATACTCAATAATTGGTAGATAATTTTTGTCTTTTACATTCTTATAATTCTTGATATGATTTTACCCCTAGTCTTTTATGACCTTGATGATGACAACAAATCATAAAATGCTAGTTAAGGTTAGATTCATCATTTCTTGACCGGCTTAAATTTAACTTATGCATACTCTTGACGAAAGCCAGCAAAGTTGCATAACCAACTTAAGCTATCCTTATATCTTATATACAGATGAATACTACTTAGCCATAGAATAGTATTGTCTTAACGATAGCTAACAAACAAAGTATTTATAAGCTTAGTAGTATTCAACTGAAATGATGGAGGGCTACGGACGATTTCATAAATCTTTTACCGTAATCAAACTTGATATAGTTTAAAGATGTTCTATATTTATATTTGTAACAATTAAACTAGCCAGGTAAGTACAAGATTGGTGGGAGGGTTCGGAGATATTCACCGGTAATATTTATCAGACCTTAATTAAGTAACCACCGTTCTTTAAGACTATAGCGCAAAAGATTGGACATCACCCCTAATCTTAAGTGGGCATCACCCCATGAGCTATATCTCATAATTACTTTCCTTGACACTAGTTAAAAGTTCGTTCTAAATATTTTTTTTAACTGCTTTAGGTTTATTTATCTTTCACACTAACGTTGTGTTAATGTCGATCTCATCACTCTATGGTCAATAAACTCTTATTGCCATGTCTCACAAAGTTTAAAATGAGTTTTTATAATAATAATAAAAACTATTTCTCTAGTGAGATAGAGATATAAACTTTGCAGAATATAACACCCAATTGTATTAACATCTATAATTAGGGCACAACCAACATATCAACATATATAAAAACAATATGGAATGGTAGTGGACAACTAAAAGAATAAAATGCAACTACACTAATTATATTTTGACAAGCAATTTGTAACTCCTTACAGTGTTAGCTCCCTTACAAATCCTGTATTATTACAATCACATATTCATAGGACGTGCAAGCCCTATTTATTATGAAAAAATCATCTCGAAGGATGGGTAATAATATTGCATTGAATGTAAAATAAAAATTATAAATGAAATAACTTAACTAAACAACCATATCCCCACACCCGAATAAGGACCTATACCCGTAGGCGTAGCCCATGATCGGTGAGCAAGTGTCTAAACCCATAGGCGTAGCCCATGCTCGGGGAGAGAAGATGTCATAAATAATATTACATTTCTAGCTATATTACATCAATACAATAAATGCAAGAGAATTGTTGTCCACTATCATCCATAAACATAACATCCACGTAAGTTGATATAAAACATATAACTTAATCAACATTAAGAAATATGCATCTATCTAGTTATGCAACAAATTGAAAAACTAGATAACATAGGGATTATCCTAACTCAAATAGGACTATCATGCTTCTAACATATAACTACACTAGTTATAAATAAGTGTTTTGCAATTTATACAAGTATTTTTTACTCTTAAAAACTTATGAACCAAAAAATAACATTTTTGAATCAACAACTAGTATAACTAATTACAAAACAATTTGTATTAATTAACTAGTTTCATCTACACTAGTAATTAGAAGCAAGAATAAAGTCCTCCATGAGTTAGATGTGCATGTTAAGATTTAATTAGATGGAACAATGACTCTAATACCATATTAGAAAATCGTGCTAATTACATGCAAAATACATAACGGAATACTATATATATAATAATACTAAGCATGTAGAGTATGAAATACAAGCTAGGACCATCCTAATTAAATCTAACATGATCCCTATAATAAAGGGAGCAACCAAGAGCTTCGAAGGCTTACTTTCGTAGCGTGATTCGATAGTAGATCGAACAACCCCTAGCTCGTTCTCCTTGTTGTTGTAAACCTCCTTGTAGTGGATCTCCAAGTCTTCGAGTAAGCTTGATAAAATCAGAGTCTTCTTGAGACACAAGGCAAGATATCCGTCCCGGGTACTTTAAAATCCTACTACTTCCTCTTACTCAAAGATTACTAGAATTTAGTAAGAAGTAGAAATCTCTTTTATTCTCTTATGGAAAAAACCACTTAACCAATTTTTCATTAACCTCTCCATAAGAGAGAGAGCTCATATATATAGAGTGAGATGTCACGACTTATCTCATGAGTCATGTTATGAATCATCTTAATGTAATGATTCCTTTCATGAGTCATGCAAAAAGTCATGAAGAATCAAAACTGTGCTAAAACTATATTCCCAAACCATACCACCTTAATGACTCATCTCATGACTCATTAATCAAGGTATAATGAAGTGTGTATTTCATAAATAAAAATACCACATCAATATGGTGTTTCATAAAAACGGTATTGCGTAATTTTCCAATCATTAATTAATAAGTCATCATATGACAAAAAAATCAATGAGTTGACCAAAAGTCAACTGTTGACCAAAAGTCAACCATTTAACTAAAAGTTAACTTTATGAAAAAAATACTGAAATTCATTTCTTAAGCACATAGCATTCTGAATTTACTGATACATATAATCGTTTATGTGTATCTGGTGAAAATCATATATGTGTATCAATCATACGTATTTAACTCTATAAATTGTATTTCATAAGATTCAAGTACGTGCTTGGTGCGACTCTATGACCCAACTTAAGACTCGGCAGTGGATCATATCCACAAGTACAATAGAGGTGCTAGCTACATATGAAGACTATCCGGGTATAAGTTGTGATAAATGTCTGCAAGATGCTTACACTATTTTATCAGGACCACTCAGTGATAATATTCTACAATCCGGTTTTTTCGTTAAACAGTGTCAAACTATCAAGCCTGGGGTATGGAAAATTGTCAAACCCTAATAGCTTGATTAGGGTTTGTTGATATTAAACTCGTAACCTTTAAGATCAAACTGATACTCAGTTTATCTTATTTACCTTGGTCAATGATTTTCAGACTATAGTTATATCAAACAATCTTATGACATCAACCCCTTATACTGGGAGAGACGAATCTCATCTTGGCATCTCAATATCTATATATGTCTCGGGATGCACCCAACAAGAACCGTTATGCACAACTCAATGTGAACTGTGGTTAGGTAAAAGTCTAAGTACACCTATACTGACATATAAGATATTACACTCATGCTTCAGGTCAAGAGACTACTTTCTACTATATCACTTGAGAACTTCTATTTGACAGTTAAGTATAATTACTAACTAGACGTTCTCAGTGAGTCGTTTAGTCAACTCATTCACTAATGAGTCACCTGTATAATTATCTTGATGTCTCACATCAATGATCCAAGAGATGGATCATCATCCTTCCAAAGGAAAAATAGAATATACACTAACACTAGTCTTCCCAAAATGATGATGTCTCATTTCTACACTTCATCGACTAGGAACATTTTAGAATATATGTTAGCGACAAATCAAATCTCTTCATTACGATCATATCCGAAATGTCTGATAGTCTAGTATCATTCTAAGGACTTTATCTGTATTAAAATATCAGATAAATCTAACCAAAATAACATACTATCATTTTGAACAAGGATGTTATATTCATATAGGTCCTGTTACAATATATAATTATTGTCTGCATGGCACCTATATCTAACAGTCTGAAGCAGCAATATCTTGCCCAAATTTATGAAACCAATGATATTTTGTTTAAGTTCCGTTGCTGCAGTATTTGCTTCATAAATCATTATTGTTTCACAAAAGCATGAAAAAATATCCTTTACTTGGGAAACTGTTTAAGGAACTGAGTAGCTCACCTGCATCTCCTTTTTTTCCTAGATTTCTATGATTGGTTATGCTAAAGAAGTAGTGAAGCAGAGTTAGCCATAAGGTTAATTAATTAATTAATTTAATTAATTTTGCAGTGGATAGAATTATTAATTGAATATATCAATTGAATATGTTAATTAAATATATGAATTTTGCAGTGAAAAGAAATAGTAAACAAGGAGATGTTGTTTTGAAAAACTTGCATACTCTGAAATATATAGAGACCAGAGTTACTCAGAGTGATTGTGGGATGATTTACATGGTGAAACAGTCTTAAAATTTTTATTAACCTTGATTAATGATCTGGGAACATATTGCCCTTTCATTCCAAAAGTCTTTTACAAAGAGGTGCTCTCAGACCGTACTTTTCGAACTGTTACCTTTGGACAAAAAATATTGAGAAGCTCACCTGTGTTACGCTAATAATTTGGTCTCTACATGGCAATTTTTTTAAAAAAATTGTGCTGCACTTTCTTTCCTTGAAAAAAAAAGATTGGGAATTTACATTATAAACCCAACTAGCCTGACCTAGGATTTCACCTGGGTTTGACCCATAAGATATCTCCTGTACCTGCTGCATATATTTATCCATCTCTGCATCTTTACTAGCTCTGCATTTCAACCTATACTTTAGAGAAGCATACAATGTATTTTAGATTTGAATCGGATTTGACAACTAAGTTTAGATTAACAGAAGGATTAAAAAGCATGATTATGAAAGAAAAGGAGATAATATGATAATTATTTTTGTATTAAATCTCATCATTGGTAATCCAAAGGACCAAAGAGAATGCCTTGAAATTGAGAAAGAAACCTCAGAATTAGCTATTACTTGTCCGTTTATGCCAGTATTCCCCTTTTTTTTTTTTTTTTGAAATATAACCCTGACTAAAAATCTTCCCAGGTGTAACTAGTGCAGCAAAATTGTTGGGTTGCAGAGTTCCTGAATTGATGCTAACCTTATCAACACGCAGAATTCAAGCAGGCAGTGATGAAGTTGTTCAAAGACTAACACTTTCGCAGGTAGGGAACTATGGATTTTTTGTGTGTGCAAACATGTGACCCTTGTCAACCTAAGAAGTTATTACATGTCTGAGCTTTTACGATGTTACCTACAGGCAATTGACACTAGAGATGCATTGGCAAGATCAATTTATGCTAGCTTGTTTGACTGGCTTGTTGAGCAAATCAACAAGTCACTTGAAGTAGGAAAGCTATTTACTGGAAGATCCATAAATATTCTTGACATATATGGGTTTGAATCTCTAGATGTATGGATTGTTTTTACTACTGTTTGATTTGCTTTTCATCACCAAGCTTGTGATTTACACTTGTACTTCTCTATTCTCCAGAAGAACAACTTTGAGCAATTATGTATAAATTATGCGAATGAGAGACTGCAGCAGCACTTCAATCGACATCTTTTCAAACTTGAACAGGAGGTGAACATCCTGAATTTTCCAATTCAGTTTTATGCTTATTTCGTGATTATGTACATACTACATAGGATCTTATACAAAATGTCTTCAGGAAGAGCCTTGTATTTTTGTTGTCTTGCTTGAGATTATGTGTAATAAAATTGTAAGAAAACAAAAACTTTTTCAACAATTGGACATGATGTAGGGATTACAGTTATTGGTCGCCCCACCCCCAACCCAATAATAATAATAATAATAAAACCCCCAGTACCTTGTCATTAAGTCAACAATCCTCCTTGTTATCATATTTTAATTCATCTGGCAAATTTGTTCTTCAAGCAGTGTCGATACTTCATACAAAATTATTGATGGTATTTCTGTAATTAATACTTTTTCTGGTACTTTATGCTTTAACAGATATAATTTGCTTATGCTTGTCGTTCTTGCATAAGATTGCTTAATCTTGGGCGAACTTCTCATGTTTTTTCTTTGGTCTATGATTGCAGGAATATATACAAGATGGAATTGATTGGACATATATTGAATATGTGGACAACACACATTGTTTAAATCTCTTTGAGAAGGTATAGTATAACTTTCTGTAAAAGTTAGAACAGCACAAAAACTCAACTTTTTTACCCCTTTCATGATCTACAATATTCTTTATCTATTAAAGCCAAAAAAGGCAATTGCCTTTGACATTAGAATAGTACAACAATTTTATGTATGACTAACAAAATAGAGCGGGATCTAACTCAAGGAGGTAATTCAATGTGGATCTTTTTCTGTCCGTCTTCTCATATTTTTTGAGCAGTAATTTCCTATTGTACATATCTTACAGGAAACTAGAACTTAAATAGCAACAACATCCTTAATTTTGTTTGAGAATGCTCAACAGTTCTCTGCTAAGTTTGTGTTTGTTTTTGTTTTTGTTTTGGTAGATGATTTTGTTTCACCCACAACACTAAAGCATGTGTAAGAAGACTTAACATCAGAAACATGAGTGCTGGACTGGAGGTCCTTCAACTAATTAAATACTCAGAGCAAAAAATCGTAATAAATATCTAATTAAGCACCTCGACTCTGTGAAATTTATAAGCAAAACTACTATTGATCACAATCCAATCGTAAGTTGAACGAGAATTATAGACTTTCTTATAAAACTCTGTACTACTTAATGAAGTCCCAAAAGGAACGGAATAAATATCGTATAATTTGCTTCAGCCATCCTCGAACTTGAACCTTAATCTCTTAACTTCTTGTGTGTTAGATATTATTGATAATTTGGTATTAGTAGAATTAATAGATATTATGAGATATTGTTGAAATATTGTGAGATGATTAGATATGATTTTATGTCATACCTATTTTGTAATATCCTCATAATCTCTGTTTAAGAGAGATTAGGGTTAGATGAGTAATGAACTTTTACATTTTTTATTTTCTCAACATGGTACTAGAGCCTACTCGATCCTAGCAACTTCTCCCATCTTTCTATATCTTGAGGTTGTCGAGAGGGTTTTGCATGACCTTCTGCACCCCTCGGCAGCTACGATAACATCTTCCGCGACTTTGACATTTTTGATTTTTACATCATTTGTTTACTAAATCTTTGTTGAAAACCTCAAAAGGGGAAAAAGTTGGCACTACTCATCATGGGTACTGTTCACCAATGAACAGACCCTATGTGTTGTTCATTGTGAACAGTATTGCTCTTCGTCGTTTCCTGATAGTTGGATGCAAAAAGTACGTAGTTGATTCCGAAGTTGCTTTTACTAGCTGACCCGCCTAGGCTTTCTTTCTACCAACTAACCCTCTAGAGTTTCTCGCGACTAGCAGACCCGCCTAGAGTTTCTCTCTACTAGCTGACTCGCCTAGGGTTTCTCTCTATTGGCTAACCCACGTAGGGTTTTTACTGGCTGACCTACCTAGGGTTTCTTCGACTAACTTATCCGCTTGGGATTTCTACTGGCTATGATAATATTCTAATTGTTGACGTCTTCATGTATATTAGACAAAGATAACAGTACTGAAGCTCTTGCAACTAGCCGTTTTGTTCCCATTTGTAATAAGCCAGGCATATATAGTATATATGGTATAGCTTAAGGGGGAGTGTTAGATATTATTGATAATTTGGTATTAGTAGATTTAGTAGATATTATGAGATATTGTTGAGATATTATGAGATGTGATTAGATATAATTTTATCTCATATCTATTTTATAATATCCTCTATCCTCCTAAGCTCTATTTAAGAGATGTCAGGGATAGATGAATAATAATCTTTTGCATTTTCTATTTTCTCTACATTGTAGTTAAAGTTGTTTTCAAGTTGCTCGATATATAGGCTCTAGAATTGAATGTTATTTCTGTCACGAATCCTAATTATTTTCAATGTCAATTTTCAATTATTTTTTTACTATGAATTATGATTAAATATATATTTTTTTCAATTTGGAAATATATGTATCGAATAACAGTTTTAATCCTGTAAAGAATAGCAACTCCTGCTTGAGCTCTAATTGTTTACATTCCAATAATAATCTCTCATTTACTCTTTTTGGAGTTCCTAATATATCTTCCAATCTACCTAATCAATTGTCATCAAACTTAGGAAACATCAATATTCTACACGCACAATTAGTTAAATAACCACAATATGATTATCAATCAAGTCAGGCCATTACAGATTTAATAGTAACATCTCTTCCTCATTTTATTTCATGTCTGTACATTGAGAACTTTGTTCTTGTTTGTGACAGAAGCCACTGGGATTGTTCGCTTTATTGGATGAGGAGTCTGCTTCGCCCAAAGGAATTGATTTGACTTTTGAATACAGGCTTAAACAGCACTTGAATAGTAGCCCTTGTTTTAATGGTGACACAGAAGGTGCTTTTGAAGTTTGTCACTATGCTGGAGCGGTTAGTCACTTTGGAACCTTACTACTTTTTGTTTAATTAGTGGGTATTACTTTGTCGTGCCTTGGTTTTAGTTCATATGATAGTAGAGGGTACTATCGTTATGCTTAATATTATCCCTTTATTCTAAATAACCACTCTTAATCTTGTCTAGAAATATGATGATTTCATTTTTAAGAGCAGGGCCTCAAATAATCCTTCAGAGTGGGTTTTAGGTTTGTAAACTGGGCCACTATTTTCAGTGGAGCAGCACTTTTGGACGACATAATGATTGAAACTTGATTGCAAGTTATTGTATAGGTTTCCTTAGACAATGTGAACGTATCATTGAAATAGTCACATATAGTAATTTTTTTAATATGCAAAATCACAAAGGACAATTTTATTTTTTTTTATTTTTTCATTGCCTGGTGTTGCACTGCAATTTTTTTCTCCCCTTCTTTAAGTCCAATTCTGAGAAGTTTAGTTAATCGGGTTAGGAAAATTCAGTTGGCTCCACAATTACTCTTTACCTTAGTTTTCATATAGCTAATACCTTGGTAACATTAGGTTTTATATGACATACATGGCTTCTTGGAAAAGAACAGAGATCCACTATCCTCAGAATGTATCCAGCTACTGTTATCATGTGATTGCCAGCTTTCCCAGTTATTTGCTGCTCGTATGCTTAGTCGATCTCATAATCAAGTTGGTTCCTCTAGGAGAGCAAGTAGTATTTATTCACAGAAGCAGAGCGTTGCAACAAAGTTTAAGGTACATTTTAACATGAAGTATGTTTTTTTACTATCTGTAATTGATTATATTCTGTCTCGTTGATTGTTTAGTATATCATGATGCTTGCGAAGTTAAACACACACACATGCGTGCACGCTATTCAGTGTATGTAATGATCTTGAGGAGGTTCTTTATAAGGTATTCCATTAACTTCTAACACATTCACACAACCCAAGGTTCATGTCAGGATTAAACATAATTTTCATCTGGAAGATTTAGGATATAGGATAGCGAAACATCATGATTGTATTTCATCTGGAATATATCTAATGTAGCCGAAGGAGTAAATGCAGAGAGAAATTCTTCCAAAAGGAATTCTCCCTCTCTATCTTTATAGTTATCTGTCCACATGTATTTCATTAATATATATCTACACCTAGTGAGTTTATTTGTGTGTGGGCATGTATGTATGCATACATGTGTCTACCTATGTATGTATGTACATAAAATACATATATGCATTTGCATATACATAAACTTTCCATCCAAACATCATCCTTTTCTTTAACCCCAATCTCTCTTTATATACAAGACTATATATAATATGTTATGGCATGCATGGACATAATCAAACACGCATATCACCATAACATATTAAATGTTCTAGCATCTGATTTTCCATGAGTTCCTATGTTGAATAATAGTATCCATGTCACTGAATGACTCGTATGCATGTGTCCCTCTAATCATAGAGAATTTGGTGCACACAGAAAACCAATTTTGTTAAAGGCTGTATTTCTATCAATTCACTAATGTGAAAAAGCTTATATACTGAAGATATTAATTATCAAATTTTGTGGGTGAAGCTTCTAAATGCCTAAACAGACTATTTGGAAATGCTTACCATGGTAAACTTTTTTAAAAATTTTTGCTGGGAAAGTTATTACTTTTGTACTGACTAGCAAAATGATGCTTTGGCTATTAGATTAGGGTCATATGTGTATACAGGAATTTCAATCTTGTTAAGACCTTCACGGGAAAAGAAACCCTTCTTATTTAGACTGTTTGCTCTTTATATTCTTCTGAAGCATATCAGTCATGATAATCCTTCTCCACTAGGATTCAAATAACTTTATCATGACTTTATTGATTTCCCAATCACTATCTTATTAATTTACAGATAATTCATTGTGCCTAATGTCAGATAAATTCCATCAATCAAAATATGTGATTGTGGTTATTTGGATGTAATCTTTAAGATAAATTTCCAAAGTGACACAGTAATTGATCTTATTTGATAATCTTTTGGATGCTTATAGGGTCAGCTGTTTACTCTTATGAAGCAACTAGAGAACACTACACCTCACTTCATACAATGCATTATGCCAAACTATAACAAGCTTCCTGGCGTATATGAGGATAAACTTGTGTTACAACAGCTCAGATGCTGTGGTGTTCTTCAGGCTGCAAGGATATCAAGGCTAGGCTATCAAACTCGGATGACACATTATCAGTTTGCTGAGAGGTAATATTCTTTCGTGTGCTCACAACAAGATTGCTTAAATAATGAATGCCTATTTAGCTAAGTTTCCTCTCAGATATGGCTTTCTCCTTCTGAAGAATGTTGCATCTGAGGATCCACTCTTTGTTGCACTTGCTGTTCTACGGAAATTCAGTATTCCTCCTGAAATGTATCAAGTTGGTTACACAAAGTTGTTTTTCCGCAGAGGACAGGCAAAATCCTTCCCATCAATTTCCACACTTATTTCTTTATCATATGCACTGAAATATATATCGCCATTTAATAATTTTCCTGTTAGATTACTTTGAATTGCGTTGGTAGGCGAAGAAGTTTTCTATGAGCATGTTAACCTCACGGTAGCTTTTTTGGCTAAAATATTAAGAACCAAAGTCATATTCTTAGCATAATTATGCTTCGGCTAAAACATTGGTCTGCACATCCTAGCATTTCATTAAAAGCCATTAACGAAACTTCCCAGTAGGAGGGTTTGATATATTTGTTGTGTATGTATATTATGTACCTTATATTGTACACGAGTTCTGTGCTGTTGTTGGTGAATTGGAATTGGCTTGGACCGATCTAAGCAAGTTTTATGTCTGTTATTTCATAGATATTATGAGGAATACATTTGTTTTTGTACGATTGAGTAATGTGACTGCCAACATTTGGGGAAAGAGCATGTCACAAAAATGACTCTGAAAGATTGGATTGATTTGAAATGGAAATAACAAAAATTTATTAAAACCTGTAGAGATAACACCGGAAAAAATTAGTTTATTTTGGTGTCCAGCAAAAGAAACTGCTTCTGTTCCATAAATTTCTTCTCAGTGGTTGTCATTTTCTACCTTATGATAATAATTAAATAGCATGAACTTACATTCTGTGGATATGCCAATCAATTCAATTCAAGGTTGACACCTATATAGACTTTTATTTCCTGATTTGAAATGGCAACTATTTTTATCCACTTATAATAAATTCACTATGGATTAGGCTTAACTGGAAACTATTATTGTTTATGGAAATACATGAATGGCACGTATTTCTTTTAAAGTTTACAAAAGTTATCTATAAAAATTTGCTATGTATTTTGATTAAGGCAGATTATAATGTACAGTAGAAAATAAAAACTCTAATAAGAATGATGACGTTAAAATCTTTTAACTAGTTTTTTTGTAAACAAATCATAATTTTAGTCAATAATAACAATTTACCTTTGTATATGCCATTGCTTATAACACATTTTTCATTGTGTTCGCTCAATGTGTGTTGTGGCTTTGGTTATTTGTTTGGCAGCATGATTATTAATTCTTTTCACTCTATTCTTTCTTTCTTTTCTTTTTCTGGATCCTACTGTGAAGTTATCTTATGGTTTTGACAATTGGCGGTCTTTAGATTGTTTTACTGGAAAACATCAGAAGCCATACAATGCAAAGAATTCTTTGGGTTCAGAAATCCCTTCGTAGTCTTCAAGGTCACCGGCATTTTCAAGAGGTTAAGAAAGGAGCTATTACGCTTCAATCATGTAAGACATAAACTCGTCACCTTTTTGTTTATACTAAATGATTTGGAAATTATTTCCAGGTAATTTAGGTGTTCGTCTTTTCAGAATATTCATCTGCACTACACAAATGGTTTTACATAGCTTAGAAGGTCTCATGTGAGCTTTCATCTTTATCTATATCATGCTTCCGAAATTGTAAAACGAAAGTCTTGCAAATTGTGAAGGTGCATCATAGATGCTTATGCTTAGCTTTCTCTTCTCCAATCCCTTCTTTTACTTTTGAAGATATGGATCCATTTTCCACTGCTCAGACTGTAAGAACCAGAAATATGTTAGTTTTTCCAATAACGAGGAAGGTCGTCGGTTTTCATACTTCATGTAAAACACTGCTAAGGAAAAAATTGATGACTAGCCAAAGGAAATCATATATTCTGTAGTTTCTAGAAATGTGCAATAACAATGTAAAAACGTAATTGGTTTTGGTTATTTAGCCTTTTGAGAACAATGTCATAATGAGCTGAAATGTCAATTTTGGTGCAAACAAGTATACACCCATTACTGGTATTACACTTCCCATTAGACTCTTTTATCTATTGTTTCTTCTGTCAGAATATTAGAGGGTTAGCATGGCATTTCTAATTTAACTGGAATTTTCCATCAACCTATACTTGAATAAACTCATTGCATGTGGATATATTTACCCTTATGTCCATTCCATTTTTTGTTCCACTTCTCTGTTATCAGATCGTTAGATGTACTTTTAACTCACCTTTTTCGGAAAATATGTGGAGTTCAAGTTGTAGTCTTCTCCTATGTTCAGTAGCCCACAGCCATGTACAGTCGATGGTAAAGTTATATGTATAATAGAATAATGTAGTATATACGAATATTAGGAGTTCTGAAGTTGCATCGACCTCTTTTTCCCCGGAATTCAACCATAACTACACATAAACAACCAATACTGTAAATATAAAGTTCTCTTTTCACTTGTTATGTTATCCTGATTACATAAAGGGGAGATGGCGATGGAACCCATTTCTTTCTTCGTGCACCTTTAGCACAGTTCTTTATAAATTGTTTTTAACTTGACAATATGCACTCAATGGTAAAGTTATAGGCACAATAGCATAATATTAGCACATGAATATTAGGTGTTCTGAAGTTGACATCGACCTCTTTTCCCCAGAATACAATCAAAACTAAACATAAACATAATCACTACAATCAACACTGTAAACATAATGATATTGCTTTCAGAAGTTTCTTTCTTCTTATTTTATTCTGATTACATAAAAGGGATATCGCAAGGAACCTTTTTTTAACTTTCTTGATTAATGCACTCTTAGAACCGTCATTCCTTGTGTTTTAACTTGGCAAAAGAAACATTTTAGATAAATTTACAGCACCTGGATCATGTTGTATTATGGTATTAAATTAAAATGAAATTTTTATTTTAATCTATTTTATTACTATCTTATGGGTGAAAACTGAAATTATCAAGACACAGAAAATGCCTGCCTACGTACATGGCAACTGAGTAAGTTGTAACACAGATGATTTTCAACCCTTATTTTCTGTTGACTAGCGTCCATCTTGTTTTCTTACTTATTTCCTTCATCTTGCAGTTATCCGTGGTTCATTGGTGAGAAAAAACTTAAAAGGTTCAAAGACATATTATAAAATAGTTACTCGAGAGGCAGTCCAAAATCAAGCAAACAAGGTACTTTATTCTATACAAAATAGAAAATTTTAGTTACCTATTCTTCTATCATTTCTTGTGCTGCTTGTTCTTGCATCTTGAATTTCAAAGCATCACATGGTGAACATGAATATTTTCTTATAGCCAGCAATCTCCTTTTGTAGTTGCAGCATGAAAGTTTATTTATATCACTCTCTTTCTTTTTTTTCTTCTTTTTTTTATTACCTTGCATAACTCGATCAACACATTATATGGAATAACCAAACATGTAGCGGAAAACACCATTTGAACACCTTGTTTCTTACATAAACCATATATATTATACCAACTGTGAAGCCACTGGTGAGCCATAGGTAGGTTCATTGAGTGGGTGGAGATGGCAAAAAAAAAGGTAATAATAATATTGATGCTGAAAGGAACTTAGCATCTATGTTTCAGTTCAGACATCTGAAATGGTCTTTCCATTTATAGGGTATGGCCCAAAACCTCAAACTTTTAAGGTATAAATCTCAACCCGAATTGTGAATCCGACCTGAACCTGACACAAAATTAATGGGTTCAAGTTTTTCGTGATTCATTCACATCAAAAGTAGCTGGGTTCAATTTACCCTTGTATCAGACATGTTTTTTATTCGGCTTTTCAACCTGTTTGACATAATCTATATAATCTTAATATGACAGTAACATGTATAGTTTAATGACTTTGAAACTTTTACTTGTCAGAAAGGTTTATGCGCCATGCCATGTAGTTTGCAGGCTGTAGCTATCCTTTTGATCAGTTTGTTTTTTCTATAAAATAATAGCAGTAATCATACTTGTTCTCTAATAACTTCATTTCCCCTTTCTATTGGAGATTGGAGAACTAGGAACACTAGTTGCTTATTCATATATTTGTGCAAGGATTCCTAACTTGAAACCACTTACACAAATTTTGTGACAAATATGAACAAAATTGAATTGTACGCTACTAGGGGGATACTGACAAGGTGAATGTTCAGACTGGGGCTTCAGCATTGGTGGAACTTGAGATGCAGGTTTTAAAGGCAGGACTTGCACTGAGACAAAAGGAGGAGGAAAATGTTCTTTTGAAAAAGCAACTTATGGAGTATGAGATGAAATGTTTAGACAATGAGGCAGCAATGAAGTCTATGCAGGAGTCATGGCAGAAACAAGTAATATCTTTGCAGGTGGATTTCTATTATGCGCTCGTTATATTCCTACAGTTACTGGTTATAGTTTCCTGCTTGCTATTAGAAGAAGATGTAGAATTTTGTATTTGACAGGTCAGGATCTCTTCTTCAAATTAAAAGAGTTGTATAGTTTTGGATCTATGTCAAAAGTAGTATACAATTATAGGAGAACCGTGCCCAATAATCCAGAACCTTGAATCTTAAAGTTTACTTTGTTTTTCCTTCCCTTTTCTTTTTTCTTAAAAAAGTTTCTTTTCGTCGAGATTTTTTTCCTTTTCTTTTTTGTTTTTAAAAAAGCTTCTTTGCTTTGTGCCTGGGTTTGTTTTTGTTTTGTTGGGTGTTTTCTCTTATGGTTGTGCTGTTGATGGGGCATACTATGGTCATGGGGGAAAAAATGCCAAACGTACATGTAGTTCAGCATTCAGTTGTTTCTTGTTTACATGTCTGTATTGAGATAACATTTTGGTGAAATTCTGGAAACTATTTAACACTAGCCATTGGATTTCTCAAGATTCATGTAAATGCATTAAGTGCTTCACTTTTTTCCCCCTCAAGTGCATAAGGTGCCATAAAAAAAAGACTTACTGTATTCTCTAAAAGGGTTACTAATGATCAAATGGTTGTTAAATATTGTTTTAAACTTAAGTTTGTAATTTGAGCCTTTCTTAAAATAATCACAAAATATGTAATATACACTCTCTGTACTATGGTGGTCGCCACTTATACTGCCCGAATAATTTTATTTACAATCCATGAACCTTTGATGGAATTATTATTTTGCCTCAATTTAGAGGAATGTTTAATCCTTTCTAGCTAAACCTAGTGGAAAATGTAATTTTATTGCACTTGATTCCCATGTGTATCTCAACCAAACAGGAGAAATACTGTCATCTGGAGTTCATGAGATATGAGTGTTAATGAAACATTTTAGGGCGTATAAGTGACTAAACTTCTCATGCTACAGGCGGTGATCTGAAATTAACCCTTGTTTTTTATCGATTTTGCATTCTTTTGTATATGAATCTGCAGGCAGTAAAGAACACTCACCAACCTGGACCAAATGGTGGAATAGGAAAAAACTCTGACAGCATACAGAATACTGTTGGTCCCTTGGTAAGAGAGTTTGAGCATAGAAAACAGGATTTTGAGGATGAAGCTCAAGTAATTATCGAGGCAAAGCTACCATGCTCGAGTAAAAACCCTGAGGAAGAGCTCCGGAAGTTGAAATCTCGGTTTCTTAAATGGAAAAAGGTTTACAATGGTCAGCTAAAAGATGCAAAGAAAGGAATTCGTAAGCTTGTGGTCTCAGATAGGAAGAAGGCGGTCTCAGACAAGAAGAGGACTCGTAGAAAATGGTGGAAATTGCGATGGTGCTTGACAAAATAGGATACAATTAAGATATCTGATAAACTACTTAACCAATTTATGCATTGTATTTTTCTTTCTTTCTCCATGATATTGTTTTATGTGCATAAGTGTGTTATTTGCACGTTTGGGTGGTGCTTTGGGTGTGTGCATGATGGGTGGTGCTTTGGGTGTGTGCATGATTGTAAGTTGTATAAAGTATATACACTTGATGTAGAAAACTTTTGAGATGTTACTTTCATGAATGTAATCTCTCTCTTTTTCTGTGTCGTCTGAACTCAGTCTACATGATTTGTATTCCTACTGTTCTAATATGTGTTGGCATTAACTGGACTCATGAGTCTTACTGATCGTTCAAGAGATCTTCAGCCGTGGGCTTTGAGGCTGGAGAGGCAGAAACGCTCAACAGGTGGAGAAACTCGTGAACTTCGCTGTAAAACCTGTGAACTTAGCCGTATTCCAGGAATGAGTTCATTTGTTTCTAAAATGGGAAGTCCTTTTTATCTGCAACCATTTGCCCAATGTTGGCAGATATTCCACCAGAAAATGTTCAAAGTACAGGTTCACGAATGTTTATCTGGCACCAACAAACCAATTGGTGGACTGAATTCTCCTGTTGCCCGTTGACGCATTGGAGAATTTCTGATGGTCCTTACAGCTAGTAATCAAATAATAGCTTAGATAATAAAGACTGTCAATGCCGCTTAGTTTAACAACAGATATATTAAGAGACTTCAACTAACTTGCCCATTTCAGTATTAACATTTCACAAAACAGACACCAGAAACTTTGCAGGTATATATGCATGTACATATGTATGAACTATATTTGGCATAACTTTGAGCTCGTCGTATCTATTGATCATCCGAAAGCAACCATCTCAAGTAGTTGATTCCATCGTTAACAGCAGAATCTTGATCAAGGGATGCAACTCTTTTTCGCATAAGCATTTCTACTGAAAAATCCTTCCTCTTCCTTCCACCCCTTGGCCTTGACCTCCACCTCTCATCAGCTTCCAAGAAGTCACCCTGAAATAAAAAGCAAACTTAACAACAATACAAAACAAGTCTACGTACCGCGCATGTATGTAACAAATAAATAAAGCCCAACAACATAGGGTTTAATTATGGCACTTCCGCTACTGGGGAGTGTGCCCACTTGTATCCTTGGCTCTTTTGTAATCATTTGTTGAACTTTAGTCGAATTGGTGGTTTTTCACAGCGCAGAGATATCACGCAAGAATCATGTAATAGTAACTTTTTCCCTTGGTTTAGCCAAAGGAAAAAAAAATGTATCCTTGTCATATAAGGGGATTTCCTCATGAAGATGAACCGGCTCAATCTCAACCAAGTGAAATTAGGGGTACCCTCATATAACACTTGGTTGAGGTTGAGCCACTCATTGTGTATGAGGAATTCCCTCATATGACATACGACACTCATTAACCTCTTAACAAAAAACCAAATTCCCACTAAATTGGTTGCAAAAAAGTAATTTACCATTGATCCTCATGAGTCACAACCTCTCAACTTGATGGAAAAATAATGTGATCTGTGCTAATAAAAATATTAGGAGGTATAAATGGCTACCCATAAGTTAGAATATCCCCATAAAACCTTCAAAATAGTAGGGCTGGGCATATTCGGTTCGGGTCGGTTTTAAGCGCAATCCGGATCCAATCCGAATTTTTTGAATTCTAGGGCTGGGCATATTCGGTTCGGGTCGGTTTTAAGCGCAATCCGGATCCAATCCGAATTTTTTGAATTCTCAAAACTCTCATCCAGATCCAGATTTTTTTTTAAGCGCAATCCGGATCCAATCCGAATTTTTTGAATTCTCAAAACTCTCATCCAGATCCAGATTTTTCCCCCTTCATCCGAATATTCGGCCCAACCAAAATTTGGATCGGTTTCGGTTTTGGTCCGAACTAATTCCATTTCACAAAAATCGGTTTCGGTTTTTAAGTTTATGAAAGGCTTAAGGGACCAATTTCTGGTTTCATAGACTCCAGTGCAGTATCTTGGCTGTTGGCCTCAATTACAATTAACCTCAGCTTGGTCCGGCCCATTATGCTTCATGTTAGATACTCTCTAATGAGAGCTGGGATCAACGGGGAAGTGATCGAGGCGTTCGATATCAACGACACGGCCAATGACGTCTACGAGTTCAACTTCGGCCACCACCCCTTTCAGGTCCTCAGCCTTTCCATTAATTTTAGTGCTTATATTAGAAATTGTGTCATGCAGTTGGTTGATGAATCTGAATGATATCAAACTGCTACAATCTCACTGCTTTTGTTAGGGTTAGGGATTTTTCAGTATTTATATTAGAGAATTCGGTTCGGGTTTTTTTCGGGCGGTTTAGGGGTTCAAACCGGATCCAGACCGGTTTAATTCGGTTCGGGCGGTTTAGAATCTTCTTCTCATCCATTTAATTCGGTTCGGTTAACCGGCCCACTTTTTCGGGCGGTTTTTTCGGTTGAACCGGTTTTTTCGGTTTTTGCCCACCCCTACAAAATAGTCTCTCTTGCAATTGGAAGACCTTACCACCTATCCAATTATGTTCATTTCTTCGTTTCTCATCAGCTCTTCTTGATTTCTTGGATTTTTTTTTTGAAATTTTTTTCCCTTTTTTTGGTGTGCGCGTGGGTCGGTTGTGTGTGCGTGTTCTTTTTTTGGTAGGGGTTGGGGGGTGTGGTTGCATTTGCACTCTTTGGAGATTTGCAGGGTTTTTTTTTTTTTTGGAGAATTCGACATTCAGTCAGAAAAACAAAAATCATGCCCTTGTGGACGAAATGAGGAAAAACCATGTGATTGCTATGATATCTATAACTATAAAAGACAGTAATGTTAAGTAGACTACGACTTTCATACTACTCTCACACTACAAGACACAATTGTGGAATCCTTCTCGTGAATTGCTATGAAAAATCATGGGATTTTAAGGACCCTGCATTTTTTGCATCTTGCAGTATGAGAGCAATACAAAACTTGTAGTGTAGTTATCATTACTAATTAATAATAGTTTCCAAGTTATCATTAGAAGAACTATTCAAGGATTTAGTTCCACATTCGATGTCCTTCAATATCCAGTGCACTTCCATGTTTGGTGCATCAAGAATTGACTATCTTAGATCAATGCAAGACAGAGGTTTTGTGATTTGTGCAAAGATACAAGGATTCCTTCCTTGCTACACTGCCTGCCCAGTGGATAGTTTTCACTTCACTAGAGTTATAAAATCAGGGATTAATTTCCGATAAACCACATGTACTATCGCCCAATTGTGGATAGACCCCTTAGTTCTATTATTTGCAGTTAAATCCAGACAGAATTATTTCCGACTCTTTCACCCCTTATGGGATTTATTTGTCAATAAACAGTTTTCTCCTTTATGGGCGGTCTATCTGCAATTGGGCTATAATACAGCAGGTCTATCCGCTACTAACCCCAAAATCAATGAAATGACAACGCGAAACCTATAAGATGCTACATGAATCACATAGTACTCATCCGAGCCCTGGCCGACCCTTACTACCGTATACTCAAGACCTCATAATCGGGTACACTATCAATTGACGGTCGCACCTCTCAATTTGATACACTATAAACTCTCTGTGCCTTATGTAGAACATAAAGATAAGTCATGAGTTTCACTAACTTACCAGTACATGAACATGAGCACCAGATTTCTCATGATTATCCCGGACATGTTTGTAAGAGAACTTTTGACCACACCCAGAGAATAGACAAGGGAATGGCCGAAGCTCTTCGTGTACAGCCTTTATATGCTTATTGAGGTTTGATTTCTGCAAATAACCAAAATAAGACCTTAAGCCATGACGAACAGCAAACAGACATCTAATAAAAGAATACTACCACTTCATTTATGTAAAGAATTGTTTGGAAGCTTTGATCTTGGATTGTTTCAAGAAACAAATATAAAACAGAAAGCTACTATAACCAATACAAGTATGTACGACATGCATATCTTCCATTGATTTTCAATCAAGAAATTTGACTTTTGTTTTACTTGCATAATTTACTTCTCATTTGGAAATGTAGACACTTTGTATAAACATGAAAACCATGTGACGAATAGGTTCTAAAGATTAGAAAGAGTAAATAATCACAGAAACTAGTAATCTCCCAAAGTCAGTTTGCTTTACATCAAAGAAACAGAAATATAATGGAGAAAGCTCTGAAGCTTACATTTGAGAATGTGTATTGGCAACCTTGGAAGTTGCATTTAATCCTCTCAGTTTCGACATTGCCTTCATGAATGCGTAGGTGACGCTTAAAGTTTTTCTTCAGCTGCTGAGTCCCACAAGTCTCACATAAAACATGTCGATGACTGGATTGCATATGCGCTTTCAGGCAATCAGAATTAGCGAATGCTTTCAGACAGCCTGGCTCAGCGCAAATGACCTCCACATAGTCCAATTTAACTGTTGAAGGACATCAAAGAATAGTAAAACTTGTGTGGTCCTTTTTTTGTAGTGGGTGAGGGTGGGGCTCTTTTTTTGTGTGTTTTTTTTTTTTTTTTTTTTTGGGGGGGGGGGGGTGTCTATAGTTTCAGTATATATTAAATAAACATACAAGATCCAACAGCAAAGGTTATAATGAATAACCATAAAGAATGTAGAGATTTTGTCAAAGCCTCTAAAGATCTCTTATCATCCTAACCATAGCAAATTGTTATGCCAGTTAACAAAGTGTTCGCTGTAGGAGGGTGATAGATAATTCATATACACAGAAAGATTCAACTGAAAAGGGTCTGATGAATAACAAAAAAGAACTAGAGATTAGTCTGAAGACCAGAATAATCTTATCATCATAAACATAGAAAATTATTATGCCAGTGTAATGAAAGTTGACCAAATGAGAGGGTGGTGAAAAGTAAAAAAACATTTTGCGATCAAAAGCGGCTTACCATGTGAATCCTCATGCTTCCTCAATTTAGATGCATACTTAAACGTCTTGCCACATCCAACTTCCGAGCAAATATATTGTTTTTCACCCTCCACAGAGGACTCATCACCATGCATTTCTTTGACATGCCTTGTCATATTTCCTTGAAAAGCAAACCTTTTCTTACAGTTTTCCATGGGACAATCAAATAGTTTTCCTTGGTGCTTAAGCAAATGACGATTCAGATGGTCTTTTCGTCTGTAGTTAAGGTAGCAATCCTCAATCAGGCAAGTAAAAGGCCTCTGTAATATGAAACAAGACCACTCTGAATTTGGCATGTTGGAAAAAATATCCAATATTGAACATCAAAGGTATCAAGTAAGTCCAAAACGCAATGATGTCATATTGCAACAAACAGCTTTTTGTTTCATTTGTACATCTGAGAGAGCAAAAAAAGGATAAAGTAGGTTGACAACTAGGTGCAGTAAGAAACCATTATGCCAAACGAGCAAAAAAAGAAAGGATAAAAGTAGGTTGACAACCAGTTGCAGTAAGAGACCATTATGGCGGTTTGGCATATGCAATACAAGTGTAGATAAACTCGATTTCAGTATAACTACTCTCTTCAGCTTTTCCAACAGATTCCTATTAAAACGAATTTCTTATTAATGTGTAGTAGTACCGTACAACTCGCATTCAGAAATAGACTACACCGTATTCCCCAGAACATTATAATGGCGAGGGCACAAAACAATTTAAAAAGAATACCAAAACACAGCATAGCGATATATTATGCAAATCTGTACAGACAGCATAATCAATATAACTAAAAAAAGAACTCCAGACAAGGGCAAACCTCATAGGAAGATATGGCGTGAATTGAGGCTGTCTTGATGGAGCTTCTCAGGAGGTCCCCCACCTGATACTGGTCCATTCAAGAAAAGAAACACCTGCCTCTCGCATTTTGGAGTTCTTTATATGGGATCCAATGCTTCACGCTTTATCCAAGGTGCTTTTGAGCACCAACATAATACCTTCCTGCAAAACCATTCCCACCATTCGATATGTAGCTTTAAAGAGTAATGTGGCTGTTTAATTTATTGCTTAAATTCATTATATCTCAGCAAGCAACATACATACATTCATTGTTCTTGTACGGCGTAAAAATACATATTTCAAGAGTTTCCAGTCATGCAAATCCACCAATCCACTCTCAATGCACGAAACTATATATAACATCCCTGTATATGAATCACTATATCCAAAAAAAACTAGATAAAAATGCAACCAATAATGCAATTAATATAACTAAAACAAGTATTCCAGACAAGGGCTAACCTTATAGGATGATATGGCGTGAATTGAGGCTGTCTTGATGGAGCTTCTCAGGAGGTCCCCCACCTGATACTAGTCCATTCAAGAAAATAAATACCTGCCTCTTGCATTTTGGAGTTCTTTGTATGGGATCCAATGCTTCACGCTTTATCAAAGGTGTTTGAACACCAACGTAGTCACTCAAAAACCTATAACCTGCAAAACCATTTCTTTCAATCCCACCAGTCTATATGTACCTTTAAAGAATAACATGAATGTTTAATTTACTACTTCAATTCGTTATATCTCAACAAGTAACATACATTCGTTCACTGTTCTTGTACGACATAGAAATACATGTTTCAAGACTTTCTAGTCATGCAAATCACATACATTCGTTCACTGTTCTTCTACGACATAAAAATACATGTTTCAAGACTTTCCAGTCATGCAAATCTACCAATCCACTTTTAGCTTTCTATCTAGAAAAGAACATATAAAATAACTATACGTAGGCCAGGGATGCATAAGATTATTTATATGACGCAGAAATTGCTAGGACTAAGAAAATCATTTGTAGCATTAATTAAACCAAAACTTCAGGGGAGAGACAACATTGCAAAAGGATAAGTTGAAGATCAATACAATCAAGAGCAAACAACCAATTTAGAGAACTCTCAAGTTGGCATTTTAAGTATTTTTTAGGAGAATTCTTTAAAAAAGGACCTTTTTACAAAATAATTAGCAAAATTGACATTGTGAAAATATTAGCAAAATCAACCTCTTTTTGGCCAGCGGCCAAAAAAAGGTCGATTTTGTAAAATATCAACTTTAAAATACATGGGACTAGTCGTCTCGTATAATTAGTTCTTGTTAATTAAACATTAACCATTTCAGCACAAAGCACATGTGACTTAACTGTAATTAGCGACCACCAAGGTTATAGAAAGCGCTAGGCGGCCTAGGCGTTGGATTCGATGCCTAGACTTAACTGTAATTAAACATTAACCTTTTTGGTGCAGGAGGTTTTGTTGAGGGTTGGAAGAGGTAGAGGTGTTCATAGATGGATTTTGAAGGTCGCAAAACGTGGAGGTTACAACGGAGGAAATCATGATCAACGTCTAAAATATGCAGTCTATATAGGCAGACCATGCTCCCCTAGGTGCTCCAAAAACATAGGTGGACAACCTAGGCACCGCCTAGGCACTAGGTACCAGGTAGGGGGCCAATGTACCGCCTAAGTCTAGGCATATGCCTAGGCAAATTAGGCAAGAGGCTTTTTAAAACATTGGCGACCACTAATTACACAAGATTGCTATTTTTTTGTATTTTAAAGTCGATATTTTGCAAAATCGACCTCTTTTTGGCCAGCTGAGATGAGCAGGCAAAAACAGGTTGATTTTGCTAAATATTTTCACAAAAGATCAGTTTTGCTAATATTTTTTCAAAAATGGTGTTTTTTAAAAATTCTCCTATTTTTAAAATATAACTAACCATCCACAGATGAAATTAATCTCGTAATAAATTTAATTAAAATAATCTATAAAAACTAACAAAATAAACCAACCCATCTTCTCATAAATTCAGAATAAATCTTAAATTACACTGACCCCATAATAGTCACTGTTAATGGAAGGATAGGATTCACATAGTTGACCCAAAACATGGAATAAAGTTTTGTCATCGTCGTCGTCGTCGTTGTTGTTCAACAAAAACGACGTAGAAGTTATACATGGGACTCCGTGGGATTGCAAAAACACAAAGATGTTAATTAAGTACACCAGTCAAGTATTACATCACACTTAATGCAAAAAAAAAGAACATTCCTGTTATAAGTCCAGGATAAACAACAGTGCTTCCTTGGACGTGATTTCATGCAATAGCACTGGATTATAACCAACAAGCAAGGTTTTAAATGTCGGCCGACATGTCAACCGACATATCAGTTTGAGGGCTTGAGCGACACGACATGGGCATTTTTAACTCATATGTCGGTTTTCAGGGCCAAATTAAAAATATTGGGACCATATCGGGCATATCGACCGATTTTTCAGCCTTAAAAAATTGACCGATATAGTCCTTTTTTTAGATTTGTTTTTTGTTATCGGGTTTTAGTGATAAAAACCCAAACCCGTTTGACCCGTTCTTATGTTTAAGGGTTTCTTATGAAACCGATAGAAAGAAAAGAGAGAAATTAGGGCTACAACGGACTTGAGAAACGATCACTCCTTTCGTTGACGACGACGTCATTCCCCCACCTCCATCTCGGACCCCTGTTGTCCATCTCCAGTTGCGTCCCGAAATCCAAACTCTAACCAAACCCGAGAGTGGCAGGGTATCCCGTCGTCGGGATAAAGGGCAAAGGGTTTTCAGTGACCCATCCAAAGGACCACAAGCAGACGAAGAAGAAGAAGAGCCCCGACACTACCTCCCTGCAACGTCTCGTCGTCGGCACTGCCTCCCTGCGACGTCTTGTCACTGGCACTGCCTCCCTGCGACGTCGGAATCCACTCATCATCGGCGCCGCCTCTAGAATTTATAAAGTATGATTATATTGAATTTAGGAATGCTTAGATTACATTTAGGACATAATATTATACATATGCGCACCACCCGATATGACAATCCAATATTTAGTCCATGTCCCCCGATATATCCCTGATTTTCGCTATCCGACATGGATTTTAACCATCCGACATGAACCCGACATCCGACATTTAAAACCTTGCCAACAAGGAAGAATAACCAAAACTAAATTCCGCCTCCATTCAATAGCAAAATAATTCAGAAGAAATCAATCAAAGTTTATAAATACATAGTTAATAATGACTTTTATGATGTGATAGAGAAATCATGAAAGCAGTAACCACCTCGAGAGAGTGACCCTGCATGTGTTGTTTCAGGTAAGCTGGCTTCCTAAAACTTGCATCACATTCTTTACAAGTGTACCACACCTTCTTGCCCTTGTTTGTTTCAGAATTGTTGTCATCAGCCTCTGCCTGCTTAATTTGATCCTGAATATATATTATATTATGTTAGAAACAACTAAAGAAGTTGAAAATAGTTCAAAAGAAGTAAAGTCTATTGGCCCCATTCAACTTAACATTACCATTAATTATTAAAAAAAATCTAGTTTACCTAGAGTTAAATATACACAAAGCCCCATTCAACTTAACAATACCATTAATTATAAAAAATTCTAGTTTACCAAGAATTAAATATACACAAAATAACATCTGAATCGTAAAGCTTTCACCTCCCAATCATTTGAATTTGGGATTTTTTTCTTTTACCTATATACGTCCTAATCGACCATATTTGCAAATTTACGCCCTAAACCCTAAACCTAGATGTTTGATAATTTACTCTCCCAACTATGCGGCATTGAGTTAAAATACAACCCAAACAGTGTTTTAAAAGCAAAAGGCGAGGTCAATGCGATGAGGACTTATGTTGCTTGAGGTGAGATGCCCCAAAAAAGGCAACTGGCTAAGTGAACCGAGGTGATAAATATTCAAAAATTCATAATGATTAAAAATAATATGGAAATATCAATAAATAGTAGCAAGACAAATTAATCACATCCAAAATTTCAGTCATGAATCTAGTACATAAACCATCTAAATTTAGTAAATAACAAATATTGAATAGTAATATTGTTTAGTAATTGCTAACAAAAATAATTAAGCCGCAAACTTTGAACTTTAAGGTTCAAATTGTGGCATGTCCTCAAAATGATATTAGTAATAAAGTACACAACAACAAAAAATAGCGAAAAAATTGACCAAGAAAAAAAGAAACACAAATATTTAACAAAAACAAACTTTACTATATAGAACATCTTATGCACCCTCAAAATTTTGAAAAAGAGAAACACCTCACGCCTTGAGCATCTGAGGCGCTAAAACAAGGTCATGAGGCATCAAGACGAGGTCATGAGGCGCCAAGGTGAGAACTTGAGAAGACAAAACACTCTCCTTAGTAATCTTCATTACATGGCAATACTCAAGGCGCTAAGTTAAAAGATCGCTTCACCGGAGTGTCTAAGGCCCTATGCCACATCGCTTTTAGAACACTGAGCCCAAATTTATGTAGCTACTTTTCAAATAGTGTAAAGGGGAAATTTCAGCTAAACTAGGGGAGTTAGTCGTAGAACTAAGAACTAGAACTAGGATAATTTATGGTATAAAAGCTTACAGTGTTAGTCAATTAGAACAAGAACTAGGATAAACTTTTAGCGTGTAAGTCAACTAGACTAGAACAAAATTAGAATTGGAATAATGGTAAAAAAAATTCCACTTCTCTATTTCTCTATTCAAAAATAAGAATTCTAGTCTCTCAAATTGTCCCAAGTTTTAGGCTAGAACTACTTAGTAAAAAACTAGAACTCTCCTTTTCATTTCTTATTTTTCTTTTTTATACTTCTTTTATTTTCTCTGTCCTCTCTTCTTCCGATGGTCATAACATCATCTGACTATGCTATCAAATTGGACCACCTCTCCTACTCCTCTTCATATGTTATTTTCTTTTTCCTGAATATTAGATTTACATAATTATTTTGAAGTAAATAAATCATGGATCCATAATTTATTAAAATTTTATTGAAATTGAGAGACTAGGGTAAGAGATTTAGGAGTGGAAAAAGGAAGGATGTAGGAAAAAAACCTTAATCGTTGAGACTTGTACTATGATAATTCATAAAAATAAAAGAATTATGAACTACTATTATAATAATTAATAACAATATATAGTATTATAACCAAAAACTATTCAACAATAACTAACATTATATTAAATAATTATTAATAAATAATAGTAAGTTTAAAAATAGTAGTTATATAATCAAAATCCAAAAATTATGTACTTCTTGATCATCACAAATTATCCCACTCTTTTTATCAAAATATCCCACTTTACAAAATTGTTCCCAATTATTCCAATAAAATATCCTACTTTCAAAAGATGGTCCCACTTTAACAATTATTCCACTTCTAGTGAAAATGTTCCAATTGATTGACGAACAATTAGGAATACCCTTGGAATATTCCTGAACGTAACTTCTGATGGAATCGGGAGGTAAATCAGCACATATCTAGAGTTTAGGGGCATATTTGCAAATAAAGTTGATTTTGGGTATACAGGTAAAAAACCGCTGAATTTTTTAACAAATTAAATTATATGATCTGCCCGACTCAACTCAAACAGGACCAACTATCATCAAATTTGAATAATAAAGATCAGAGCTTCTTAGTTGATTTCAACTCTTTCAATCTGGTTTAAAATGCAAAAGAAAAAAAAAACAAAAATCAAAGTTATTATACCTTATGATAAGTAAGAACGTGAGATCTGATGAGAGACTTCTTCGATCTGCAGATTCCACAATATTCGCAATAATACCGCCTAATATCCCTAAAAATTGGTTTCTTAATCTCTTCTCCCATCTGATCTCACCAAACAAAATCATCGATCAATTCAGTACTTTTTGCTCAAATTTAGGATTGATCGGATAACTGAACCAAAATTTACCTCATGATCTGTTTCCGACATCACAGTCGCCGACGTCATCTCTATGCGCCGGCGATGGTCTCTTGAAATCAGGGTTTCTTCGGATCGGCGGCGCGAAAATGGGGATTCACTAAAGAAATTGAAACCTAGGGTTTTTAAGGACCTCTTTTGGAGGAACACGTGGCGATGTGTGGAGGTTGATGCGTTTTATGAGGGACAAATTTTCAAAACCAACCTATTTCCACTTTTAATTGCAAAAAAAGACCCGTTTGGGTTTTATTTAGAGAAACCGACCTGGTTTCAGCACTGTCGCTGAAACCAGGTCGGTTTCTCTAAAAAAACTTACGAAACTACACGGGAATTCAACTCCCGTGAAGTTTAGTACGTTTTTAAACTTCACGGGAGTTCAACTCCCGTGAAATTTAAAACCATCATTAAACTTCACGGGAGTTCAACTCCCGTGGAGTTGCAGGGTAAACTCCAGCGAGCAACTCGCTGGGAAATCTGGCCTCCAGCTTCACGGGAGTTCACGGGAGTTGAACTCCCGTGAAGCTGCAGGCCAAATTTCCCAGCGAGTTGCTCGCTGCGGATTTTACCCTGCAGTTTCACGGGAGTTGAACTCCCGTGAAACTGCGGGCTATATATACGCAGCGACAGAACCCCCTCCCTCAGTTCTCTCTCCCCACAACCGCCCCCAAACCCTAGCCTCTCTCCGCCGCCGTCCACGGCGATTCCGACCCCAGCCCCCCAAATTTGACCGCCGGCCACTGTTTCCGACCGCCAGCACTCCTTTCCGACTGTTTGCCCTTGATTCCGACCGCCGGAACAGTCAACTTCGCCGGATTTCGACAATTTGAGGGTAAATTCCTCCCAAAATTTGATTGTCTCTTAATTTCTTGTAATTTCTCGCTATTTAATGGTGATTATATGTAAAAAATTATATTTTAGAATTTAATTGTGAAATTTTTATGATTTATGTGAAGAAAACTTAAATAATTTTGTCGATTTAGAGGGTAAATTAGAAAATAATGTAAAAAATAGTGTTACTACATATGTATGACATCTAATTAATTTTAAAAAAATTGTGTTATCAATAATTTTGTCGATTTTAGAATTTCATTGTGAATAAGTTATGAAATTAGTGCTATATGACATCAATTAAAAAATCTAAAAATTAGTGCTATATGACATCAATTAGATTTGAGAATTTAATTGTGAATTTTATGAATTATGTGAAGAAAACTTAAATTATTTTGTCGAGTTAGAGGGTAAATTATCAATAATGTAAAAAATAGTGTTGGTACATATGTATGACATCGGTATATGAATCAGTATATGAATTTGTAAAAAATTATGATTCCCTAAAATTGATATAGGATTTAATTTTAAGTAACAATAAATTTTTAAAGTCTTTTCGTGTAATATTGATCTTGAATGTTTTACTCTTCAGAGGTAATGATGAACGATCGAATCGTAATTTTGTGTTCGTATGATGGGAAGATTAAATACCTCGAAAATAATATGCCCGTTTATGAAGGAGGTACGACGAGACCATTGTTTATAACAAAATCGTGTACTTTCGATGAGTTGGTTAATGAATTGCACAAACTTACATTAACCAACTCACGTGAGTATCACCTTAATGTTATTTGCAATTATCCTGTCGTGGAGAACAGGACAAGCGGCATTCAAATATCAAGTGACTACGATATGAGTCTAATTGGAGTCTTACATGACGAGAAGCGTTCGATTGAATTGTTCATTGAAAAACATCAAAGGAATTTGGGCAAATCGTTGAATTATGATGGAATGTATTCCCGCATGTTGGAAGACCCTGATGTTGATTCCGTTGGTTTTTTATCTCCTCAACAAGATGAAGGTTGGACACAATCACAATATATGAGCGGTCCTTCGCTTGTGGGCACTTCGAATGCGGTCGATACTAACACGGGAGTTCAAGAAGATAATGCAAGTGTTGAATCTGAGAATGATGATGAAGAGGAGGGCTTACAAATTGATAGCATGACCTTGATAGATCGTGATGAAGGGGACAACCACCACATTGACGGGTGTTATGCTAATAATGAGTATGTTGTCTTAGAGGATCCGCCGCCCGATGAACTTCAAGGAGAAGAATGGATCGATAACTCCGTGATGGAAAGTGTTCCTATTGGCACTAATAGCGGTCATGATAATGATGAAGAGGATGGCTTACAAATTAATAGCATGACCTTGATAGATCGTGATGAAGGGGACAACCACCACATCGACGGGTGTTATGCTAATAATGAGTATGTTGTCTTAGAGGATCCGCCGCCCGATGAACTTTAAGGAGAAGAATGGATCGATAACTCCGTGATGGAAAGTATTCCTATTGGCACTAATAGCGGTCATGATACACAGGGCGAGGACTTCTCATTCGTGAAGGGAGATCTATATGAGAGCAAGGAGAAATTGATCCATGCGCTTCGCTCGTACGCCATTGCAAAAAATGTCAAGTTTAGGCCAACAAAAAATAATACTACAAGCTATAATGCGGTTTGTTTCTATCGCAAAGATGGCGATGATGAAGATATTGGTGGACACCACGACGGCAATGCGAAATGTCCGTGGAAGCTTAATTCACGCTCCGGTGTAAGAGTAGGCGGGCAATTCAAAATCACGGCATACAACGGACTCCACACTTGTAGCAATCCTCGATTAGAGATGAATAACAAGAATGCATCCTCTTCCTTCATATATCGATTGATTTTACCGCATCTGAGGGAGGATTTTGATCTAAGGCCGAAAGATATTCGTCTTCTAGTGCAAAAAGCCACCAACTTGGATGTATCATATCACAAGTGTTGGAATGCTAGGAGGAAGGCGATGATAAAAATATTCGGTGATTGGGATAAATCGTATGAGATCTTACCTCATTATCTTGAAGCACTCAAAAGAGAAAATCCAGGAACTGTCTACGCGGTATGCCAATATAGTCACTAGTTGCTAAAACATTCTACAGACTTAATAACTTCTTTCTACGACGTCGCGAACTTGGTGAAAATATCCGCTCGGAGCTCACACCGAAAAATGATGAAATGTTAGCAGCTCGGATTGTACAAGCTCGATCCTTTCATGTCGTAAGATACAGTTTTAATGAATGGGAAGTCATTGAGGGAATATCACATAGAGAAAATCGCTCTTATAAAGTTAACATGTTAGTGGATCACTCGTGTACGTGCACTTGCAACGTACCGCAATTACAATGGATTCCTTGTTCACATGTTGTCGCGGCTTGTTCTGATCTACAAGGTGGTGCGAGGATTTCACACTATGAGTTCGTCGAGGCTTGGTATTCTACTTACAACTATCGACAAACATACAAAGAGTATTTTCGTCCACCATATGATAGTCGATATTGGACACAAGACGGGCCACTGATATTACCTCCTTTGTGTAAAAGGTTGGCGGGGAGTCCTCGTTCCGTACGAATTAGAAATTGTATGGATGACGGTCGTGAAGGAGTTAGGAGGAGAAATAAGTGTAGTAGATGCGATCAACCGGGCCATAAGAAAAATAATTGTCCAGTTAGGATTAGGCGTTGATGTTGTAATTTGTAGCGGTTTCGATCTGTGTTTTCTTCCGTATGTCATTTGTGATTGTTAAATGTTAGGGGTTTCGTTCTGTGTTTGTTTCCGTGTGTCATTTGTGATTGTAATTTGTAGCGGTTTCGTGAGTTGTTTGTTTCTGTATCTCATTTGTGATTGTAATTTGTATCGTTTCGTACTATGTTATATAAATTTAATGTTTGGTTTCAAGTTATTGCTTTCTTCACGTTGCGCATTCGTTTGTTGTTTATATATAACTAGATGAGTATTTTAACAAAAAAGATCTAACACATTGAGCATTGTCTTCTAATATAATTCTCAGTTATATTCATTATGGATCCGGGACCGAGACGCCCCGACGTTTTGACCCTCCAGGCAAGCCACGTTTCAGATTATATTGGCTCAGGACAGGTAAAACATCTTTTGTGATATGCAGTTAGCATTGGCACTAATTTTAATTTTTAATTCTTTTTGACGTGCAGCCCGTACCTGATATCACCATGATCGAGCATTCACAGAGCCATTCATCTTGGGTCATTGAGGATGAGAGAGTTCTAGCGCTGATCTCTCAGGCTGGTTTTCGGGAGTGCTCGACGGTTCGATATATCAGGCTTGATTGGCCGCTTATCACTGCTTTGATTGAGAGGTGGAGGCCAGAGACCAACACCTTTCACATGCATATAGGGGAGTGCACCATCACCTTACAGGACGTGGCCGTTATACTTGGACTCCGGATCGATGAACCGACAGTTACGGGCACCGATGATCATAGTTGGCCCGAGGTATGTGCCCGGCTTCTTGGACAGGTTCCCGACTTGAGGAGTGGTGCGATGAAGCTATCGTGGCTTCGTCAGACATTTCAGGGCGATATACCACAGGATGCCGATGATGAGACGCTCCAGTTTCATGCTCGTGCATACATATTGCACATGATAGGGTGCGTGCTTTTTCCGGATGCGAGCAAGACTCTCGTACATGCACGATGGCTTCCACTGCTGGAGGATTTTGGTGTATGCGGCGCACTATCGTGGGGTAGTGCGGTGTTGGCATATTTGTATCGAGAGTTGAGTAGAGTATCCCTGATGCAGAATAAAGAATTCAAGGGATGCTGCACATTGATACAGATTTGGTCATGGGAGCGCATTCATATTGGACGCCCTACTTTACTTGTGCACCGTGACCTACAGGGGCAGTTTCCTTTGGCGTACAGGTATAATTGTACACACAAATTTTATTCGCACTGAATTTGTACTTATATATTCTCTATTCTGCATATAGGTATAACGTGCGGTACGCTAAGTACCGATCAGCGACGCGCCATCGTGAGTTTTACCGAAATGAGCTTGATGGTCTCCAACACGAACAGGTAAATATAAATCTCAAGTCGTTATGAATATTATAGTTTTGTTGTTGATACTGATAAATTTTTTATTTTATTTCAGTTCAAGTGGAGACCCTATACACCGCCGGAGCTGGATATGCATTCTCTTGCACCCATCTGCCGAGATAGTCCCGACTTGTGGAGAGCGAGAGTTCCATTGATTTGTTGGGAGATCGTGGAGATGCATGTCCCTGACCGTGTGCTACGA